GTTATTGCACCAAACAGACGGAATTGATTTTTTAGCTGGCTTTGAGGGGTTCAGGTGAGATTTTCTAGAAAAAGTGACCCTTTAATGAAAGATTTGAAAAGGAGGAAATGAGTAAAGTACGCAGCCAAGAGGGAAAAACTAATCTCTGTTGTGACAGCATTTAACAAATATTTTAGTGTCTTTAGGGCTCTGTTACTGCATTCCTCTTCCCCCTTCTCCAAAGAAGTTTGGGGTTCCATCACAGGTCATTGAGAAAATGTCTTTTAGGTTCTCCTCAGAAGCTGTGAGAGAAAGGTGGGTAACAATAGTCTAATATTCAGCTTTTTAGGGGCATAAAACACCAAAGACAAAGCTGTTAATACAGAATCACTAAGAAAACACCTCCCAAGTCATGTTAGAATAAATACTCAAACAATGTCATACCCAGCACAACTCACCAGAGTGAGTTGATTCAACATTATCAGAGCAAGGAAGAAATAACATTCTGGTTTTAATGGCCAAAAAAACAAAACAAAACAAAACAAAAATTACTTTGCAGACACTGGTGGCTCTTGCAAGTTGTTCTTTAGAACGTAGTTTAAGAAATAACTTGGTCTTGGGTTAGAAAACATTAAGACTGTGGAGGCTTTTGTGCAGGTGTGGGGCTGCCTGCAGCCTCGGCTTGACTCCTATCTGGCCCAGAAGACACTAAGAACACCCCCAGGTTAGCTGCCAGGAGGTGTGATGGATAACAGTGTCATTCTTGAGCTGTGGACCCACTGCAGTGTGTTTTAGCCACACATGAGCCCTGGCCTAGGAGGAGGAGGGAGAGGCCACATGGCATGTCTTATACACAACTTGTATTACAGCAACCACCTTTGAACAAGCCAGATCCTGGCTTCCCCAGACTGTGCGGTCTACAGGTTAGAGAAACTGCACCCTGATTCCCCAGTCACTGGATTTGGGGAGGCAGCAAAGGAAGTGTTGGTTGGCTTCTGAAGTTGAGCCTACAACATGTAGTCTTCACCTTCTGGAGGGCTCAGAGATGAAAAAAGACAATTATGCAGTCACAGCATGGGGCAGGTGGACCCCTAGGGGCTATGCTAACCTTCTAGGGTTTGCAGCAATAGCTATGCCAAGTAGTCTAACTGACCCTTCTAGTGATCAGAAACTCACTTTTTCTGTGGCATCTCCTAAATCTGGATAACTTTTCCAATTATAGCGCTCCCCAAGAGTCTCATTCCAACCTTTGCATGCTGGCTCAACCATCAGCACAACTTCACTCAAGGATTTTGTGGCTTTCAAAAACCTTTGTATTTGTGATGGACCTTTCTATAATGTGGGTATGCTTGTAGTTTTGGGCCCTTTCTATAACTTAGGGACCTTCTTCCTCTGTCGGTCTTTTTATCTTCTCCAAATATCTTTATCTGATTGTCATCAACCATAAATGCCCATAAGATCACTCAGGGACCTAAAAAAATCCTGGTGCCCAGGCCCCTTTAAATCATACTCCTTGGATGTGGAACCAAAGCACTGGTGTTTTGAAAGTTCCCCAGATGAGTTGGCCATGTAGCCAAGGTTGAGAACCATTGACTTGCTCCCAGAAACTGGTTAACCTCTTGAAAGTCATATTTTGGAATAAGGCATCTTAGATTCAAACCTGGACTGTACCACTTGGGCAATTTCTGTGTCCTCATCTGTTATGCAGTGATAATAACAGTACCTACTGCAATGACTATTGAAAGACTGCATGAGAGCACATTAAGACTAGAAGAGTTCCTGCTGTGTAATAAAAGCTCTAGAAGTTTAAGTCAGAACCTAGGACAGGGCCTAGCAAATGTTAACACAATATCTGTGCTATTACCAAAAGCCACACATTGTTTTAGCACTTCACAGGTACTATTCGATATGTTTTGTTGTGTTGATCTAGTGTAAGAAAAGTGACATAGCAAAATATGCTTTGGGACCTCTTAGTAGAACCTATTGTCTCAGACTGCCCATTTAACTCATGTCCTGGTGAATTGCCTGTATACCTTGTCATCTCATATTTCTTCTTGCATCCCATCAAAATCCCTTCCAAAGTTCTTCTACAAAAGTCCTGTACATTTCAAGGCATTCAAGGTGACTAAATTAAGCTCTACTCAATGGTCAGTTCCATATCTTTTGTTGCCTCTTGCCAAGCCCAGTGCCTACAGATGAGCTAGGCATGTAAGTGATGCCTAGTAAATTCTTTGTAGAATGACTAAATTAATTAACCTAATATACTTATGCAAGAGAGACAAAGAAGACTGAATTCCTATGAATGGTGGGGATGGTAAGAAAATACAAAATACCTACTATGTGCTAGGCACATCTCATGCGTCACACAATTTTCAAAACCTTAGAAAGATGGGTTTTCAGGTAACCTTTTGCTGTGTAACACACCACCCCAAAACATAGTGTCATAAAGTAACAATTATTTTGCTTGTGAATTTGTAATTAAATGGGAGCATAGCAGAGACAACTCCTCTCTGCTCTAAAATGGCTCAACAGAGGACTGGAGGATCCTCTTCCAAGACAGTTCACTTGGCCTTGGATGGCGTGGTTCGGTGGTAGAGCCTTGGCTCATGCACTAAAGGGTTTGATTCCTGGTCAGGGGCATGTACCTGGGTTGCAGGTTGGATCCCTGGCATGGTCCGGTTGGGGTGTGTGCAGGAGATAATCCATCGATGTGTTCTCTCACATTGGTGGGTGTTTCTCTCCCTCTGCTCTTCCCTTCCTCCCATACTCCCTTACTCCCTCCCTCCATCATTCCTTCTATTCTTTCTAAAAAAAATCAATGAAAAAGAAATGGAAATAATATCCTCGGGTGAGGATTAACAACAACAAAAAAGACAACTCACTTGTCCTCCAGCCATGATGGAATCACTCCATGGCCTAGGCTCCTCACTGACTGACTCTGGGTTGAATGGGTTGGAATAGAAAATTCCTGCCATGAGGATACCGCTCTCCATCTCAGCCTCTCCATTCCCCATTCCAAGGGGAGCAGTGTCTGTGCTTGGGGAGAAGCCAAGCAAAGCAAAAGATTTCAACAGAGAACAGAGGAAACACACCCACAGGGGTTCTCATAGCAACATAATCATGCACAGGCAGCAGCCTATTTTGGTGGGAGCTTGTCTCAGCTCCCCTCCTTCCCAGTTAGTCACAGAATGGCAGGCAGAGGCAGTGTGGGGTGGGGTCAGAGGAGAGTGTTGGACTGAAAGTCAGGAGGCTGGAGCGCTGCTCTGGGAGATTCCCACAGCTGGCTGAAGGACCAGGGACAAATGACCTTATTTGTAAAATGAGAGGATTGGACTAAAGAGCTGCGAGGATACTCCCCTTTCTGGTTTTCTTTGATTGGACAAGTATTGAGACTCTTGGTAGGGGATCAGATGTATCTGAGAAAGATACTTAGAGAAAATGGTGTTCATTCTTTAGATTGAAAGTCGTTAGATTCACCTTATTTATCCCCCTACCACTTTCTGCAAGTTGGCAAGATGTGAAAGGGAAGGAGAATGAGCAAGTGTGGCCAAAAGACTCTGCTCACTCACACTCCCAACACTAATACAGGTCTGGGGTGTGAGAAAGAAAAAGGTTAAGGAGGTTAAGTTTTTTTTTTTTTTTTGGTTCCTTCCTCAACACACACACACACACACACACACACACACACACACACACACACAAACACAAACACACACACACGCATTAATTCCAGCCTCTTTTCCATTCTCTTTTCACTTTTCTTACTCTCCCTCCCTTCCTCTCCTCTCCCTCCTTCACTTATTGCAATGTGTTCTCTCTTTTCCTTAGGACCAGGTGATGAAGGCATCCTTAGATTCCAGCCCATTTCAGTGGATTCTGGGGTTAGTTGAGGACAATCAGGCTTACATTTACTGGCTGACAAAGGTGATGTTCAAAAACAAATAGGACATGCACGCAGCACTGATCTTCCCGTGTAAATACAGGATGAAGTGAGAAGAGACAGGATGCTCAGAGAGCATCTTTGAGGTCCCTGTTCCTGACTTGTAGGCTGAAAGCTTGAAAGTGCAGCTGTCTTTGAAAGAGCCCACTTGAGTGGCCTGTTGTAATGGGAGAGACAGAGTGGGGTTCTCCGCCCCCCCTTATTCTGTCTCCCACCAGTCGACAGATGGCCAGCAAGACGGGAGGGGAAAAAAAGCTCTCAAAGCGAAGACAGGAATGCATTGTATAAAAATTCACACCCCCCGCTGCCGCCCAAACTCCCTTTAAAAAGGATCAAGAGAATCCTAATGGGTATATGACACCTTCCTTCCCTCTCTCCATAAAAGGGACTTCAAAATCTGGTGACAGTGGGGGAGGGGGGAGGAGGGAGAAGAGAAATGGGTTTGTGGGGGTGGGAGTCAGGGAAAATTAGGTTAGGGGGAGCAGTTCCTCAGGCTCTTCCATTTGACTTTCTCCCGCCCTCTTCCCCAGCCACCTCTGGCTGAACCTTCGCCCCACCCTGTCAGCCTGAGGGAGGCTTGGAGCCCCAAGTGCCCTGGGTAGGGAGAGTGGGAGAAAAGGCGAGATCGTGATACCTTACTTAGTCTTAGAGTTGAAAGAGTTAAGGACCCTCCTCCATCCAGACACCTTCCCCATTCGCTTCCCAAGCCCTTCCCCAAGGAAGGATCCAGGGATTGGCAGAGGAGAGGGAGAGTTGGGGTGGGGGCAAGGTAACTGTGGCCCAATCTTGCCCAGAGCTTGTCCTCGGTGGGAGGATGCACACGCGGGTCTAAGAACCTGCAAGAGTCCTGCTCCAGCGCCTGCTTTCTCCGAGCTTCCCGCGTGGCCCTGCAGCGTTCGCGCAGCCCTTGCCCCGGGTGCAAGCTGTCCGCAACGCCGGGGAGCGGAGGCGGTCAAGAGACCCTCACAGCCGGTGGAGGGGGCGGCCGGGGGCTCTCAGTCTGCGCCCAGCCTGCTCCGCCGAACCTCCTACCCCGCCCCCACTCACCCAGCTCAGCCCCTAGGAGAGACGCGCAGGAAGCGTGTTGCTTCGCCCAGCGGATCCACAGAAGTTGAGAGGAGTTGGTGGCTGCCTCGGGCCGGCGGACTTTGCGAGCAGCCGGGGAGAGGGACGCCGCCGCCACCGCGGAGCCTTCGGGGCTGCCTCCCTCCTGCTCAGCCGCAGCGCGCGGGCGGAGAGGGGCGGGGAGGGGGTCGGGTGCGCACGAAGAACTTGAAACTGTGTGAAGGAATCCGAAGCAGATGAGAAGGGAGGAAATAAAACAAAGTGGAGACTGCAGGAAAGACTCCACCGTGCTTGATTGTGTCGGCTGACGCTCCGGCAGAGGGGCTGGGTTGGGCTTTTTAAAAAATTTTTTATTCCACCCATTCTCTCGCTTTCTCTCTCTCGTTTAAAGCTATACCAGCTCTCTCTTTCTCTACTATCTGTGTGTCACCAAACCCTTGCTGGCTCTTATGGGCATGAAACACTCCTCCCGCTGCCTGCTCCTAAGGAGGAAAATGGCGGAGAACGCTGCCGAGAACGCCGAGGTAAGGAGGCGAGCGGCCGGGCGCCCCGCGACCCCGGCTGCCCACCCGACCGCCAAGCCGCCGCGGTCGCTGCTGCCGCTGCCGCGGCCGCTCAACACCTAGAGCCAAACTTTCCCCAGTTCCATCCGCCGGCTGTGTGTGTGTGTGTGTGTGTGTGTGTGCGCGCGCGTGTGTTGGGGTGGGGGAGAGCCAGTGCATGTCTCAGGTCCCTCCTTTTGAAAATGCAAAAGAGTCGCTCTCACCCCATCTTTCTGTCCTACCACCCGCTGCTTGCTTCTCTTTTCCCCAATTCCCAATCCTGGGCAGCTGCGCTCCCCTGCCCTCTCCCCTGCTCCGTTAGGGCTTCCAAGTCCCGGCTTTGTGCAGAGCTGAGAGGGATAATCCTGGGGCCAGGTCTGCTCCCTGCAGTGCCTTGACCATCTCCAGCGCTGCTTCAGATTTACCCTTCAAGCTCGAGTCCCTGAGCTACCGGTCCCCGCAGCACCGCGGAGAGCTCCCAGCCGTAGGGGGCAAAGCTGGGCTGACAGTGGGACTTGGGCACCGCCAGCAGACCGTCCGGCTCAGTTTAGGGCCCTGGAGATGTCTGAAATCCTCTTATCTTAGAGCCATCTCTGGGGCGGTAAACCCGGGAGGGAGAGAGGGCGCGACCACCTTCAGGACCAGGGACAGCGCCCGCTCCTGCCGCATCAGAGCCCGCGCCGCGCCACCGTGATGGTGGTGGTTGCGCGCCCCCCGGGCTGCAGCGTCAAATGGGTCTGCAGTCACTCATCCCGCATCAGCTTTTGAATGTCGCTCTAGCTCCTCAAATTGCGCTCGTGCCCCCCCGCCTTTGGCAGCCCAATAGCTGACCTTTCTCTACTCTCGAGTTGGCCCTGAGCCGCAAAGAGCCCTGCTGGGTTTTGCGCCCCAATACCGGCCGCTGTGTTCTCTGGCCTCGCACTGACCCTGCTGTCCTTACAACTGGACTAGTCCGTAGGTTCTGGGCACCTGTAGTCACGAAGGGGATCAGCGTGGGCAGTCCCCTTACCTTCCTGGAGAGCGGTGAGCCGAGGTGGGGGCGGAGTGGGGTAAGTGTGTGATCATTCCTTACTCGGTGGCAGGAGAAAGGCAGGGAGCGAACTCTCCAGGCTCTATTAATAGCCGGCTGTCTGGTGGGGCTGCCGTACAGTTCACATATGGTTACCCATATGCAGCGTGGGGCAGGGATGGAGGTGTGGCGCGAGGATTGTCTCTCTGTCGTTCTGGGATGCAAAAAGGTGCAGAGACCCTTCCCCAGTCTTCTTCCCGAGAGGTCTGAACTGTAGCTAACCCCTGCCCCCACCGCGTAGGCAGCAAAGCTTTTAACAATTCCATTCTCTGAGAGACTAGAAGCAGCATGCATCTGGCAACTGTCGATTTGGAAACAAACAGGCTCTGGGGCTTGAAAACAGTCGGGTATTCAGTAGCTAATGCCCTCTCCCTGAGTTAGGGCAAAGCCAATAGAGTGCGATCCCCGGACACTTGCTCTCCCTCTCCCGCACCCTTCCCCACCAGAGAGCAGACATTTAGAATGATGTGGAGTGCAAGGCTCTTAGCCGCACAGTGGAGAGTTAGCCTTACCAATACCCTCGCTGTCCTCTCTCGGATCGCCCACCCGCGGAAGAGCTTTCTAAAAATAGCTCGGAGTCAAGGCTGCGCGCCTGTAAAGTGTTGGACTAGCAGCACGTAGCAGTCCGTGCTGCCAGGTGGCTGGAGCGCTGGAAGCTGGAAACAACCCCCCTCGCGCCCCCCCCCACCCCCATCCCGTCCCTCTCAGTTCCTGAAAAAAAAAAGTTCTTTAGGGTCTGTAGCTCCCGCACCCGGCTGTTTGCTGGGGTCTGGGCGCAGACCCCTGCTGGGTTCCTCAGTGTGCAGCAGCCTCTGTTGAGCTCCCCACCTCGGCCAGGGTTAAAGGCGTCCATAGCAGGCATAGCAACACGCGCCAGGCTATTTTTACTGCTTCCTCCACGGTTCTGTGCTCCCCCTTCTCAGCAGTTGCACATGCCAGCTCTGCTCAAAGCATCAATGAAAATAGCAGTAGAGGCTCGGAGCTCCTGTTTGGGCAGGCGGGGGGTGGGTGGGGGAGGGGGCGAGGAAACAAACAAACAAAAAAACAAACAAAAAACGTTTGCACACAGTGGCAGTGGGAGGGACAGACCAAAGGGGGCTCCTTAAAGGGGAGTGAGTCTGGGGTTCAGTTCTTAGCAACTTTCCTGAGGAGGGGAGGAATTCAGACCTACTTAATGTTCAAACATGCCCAATGAAGCCATCCAGGCAACGTGACAATCACTTGGTTTTTTTCCAGGAAATGGCTGTTTGTGGAATAAGCCAGGACTAGAGCAATACTTCTAAAAGTGGGAAATTGTAGGTTTGTCTGCATGTATGGTGGGAGAGAGAGGCAAGGATGCCTCTGTGGTGTTTCTGTGTTGGTGCTGCTCTGATGGTGGTAGTGGTCTTTGTTCTTAACTGGACATGTCTTTGTGAGCACTGACTCTGTATTAGGAACAATTAGGTACCCCAGAACTAAAGATGGAGACCACCAGACCCCTGTTCTCCAGGGAATCAGTCTGGTGGATAGTGGTGCCAGATCATCAGATAATCCTGTATCACCTTTTCCTGCCCTTTGTTGGTGTTGTTGGCAAGCACCTTATCTCCCTTCATCCTCACAATAATCCTGTGAGATAAGCAAAGGTTAGTATTTATTTTTTGTCCCCATTCTGCAGTTGAGGAAACTGAGGCTGAGAGGTCCAGCAATTTCTGAAAGTCACCTGGCAGGCTAAGCCAGTCTTGGAATACAGTTTGATCCCACTTCTGATTCTTTGCCCTTTGCCCTACATTCGTACTCCAAAAAAGATGCCATGTATGTATGAATGGGAGTGGGGAAGTGAGGATTACTTTGGAAGGCAGAGATGAAATATTGGAGGTAGACAAAGATGATGGGAGGTGTTCTTTTTTAAAATTTTTGTTGTGGTTAATCCTCACCTGAGGATATTTTTTTCCATTTATTTTTAGAGAGAGTAGAAAGGAGGGAGGGAGGGAGAAGAGAGAGAGAGAGAGAGAGAGAGAGAGAGAGAGAGAGAGAGAGAGACATGAGAAAAACATTGACTTGAGAGAGACACATCAATTGGTTGCCTCTTGAATGCACCTCCACCAGAGCTGGGGATCAAACCTACAACCCAGGTATGTGCCATTGACTGGGAATCAGTGCGCGGACAATGCTCCAACCACGGAGCAACACCAGCCAGGCCAGAAGGTATTCTTTCACAAGGTAAAGATAGGGAAAGATATTCTAATTATTAGGCAAGGAGAAAGTGGAGAATAAGACTACTTATATTATGAGCTGAACCTCTCTTAAAGTCTGGAGCTGTGGCAGTGGGGACTTCAAAAGCACAGTTTTGGAGGGCATGGTTGGCACTGGGTGGCCCTGAGTACACTCTTGAACCACTTTGGCATCTGTTTCTTTAACTTGAGCTGATTCCCTTTGTGGACATAAGGATATGCAGGGCCCCTGGCACATGTTAGTTCCATTTCTGCTTCCTCTGGCTCCCTCAAATATGCTTCTCCTCCTCAGCTGGGATCACACACCGGTGCCCACTCTCATCAGCCTCTTCTCCTCCCTTGTTCCACACACATCACCAGAAACCTTCTGATGTGGTCTTCTGAAATGTCTGCAAAGCCTCCCACCTGACTCTCCTTTCCAGTCCACTCTCAGTGCCCGCGACAGGTCATCCTCACCTCTGCCCTGATTTAGGCAGTAGCCTCTCAACTATTGTTCCTCTTCCCTAATCCAGCCTCATTCTGATGCTCAACGGGCTTCCCGAAGCACAAATGTGCTCGTGATCCGACATCTCTTTTAAAGCTCACCATGTAGCAGCCCCATTACATATAGAATACAGGATGGAGCCCAGTTTTCTTAGCATAGGCCCTTTAATACCTGCCCCGTGCAATTCTCTATATAGGCCACTGACATCATGCCTGAATACTTTTGTGCATATTGGTCCTTCTGCCTGGGTTGCTCTCCACTACTTCTCTCTGGGAAAAAAAGTCTTCCTCAACCTTCGAGACCCAAGTCAAAGGTCACTTCCTCTGGACAGCCTTCTCAGATCTGCCACTTACCCTCCACCCCCAAGGAGAGCAAGTGCTCCTTCTCCTTGTTCTTTACACCTGCCTCTCACTTTTCCTATTAGAGATCACTGGCTTCTTATATGTCTGTTTCCCCAGTTAGGTAATGAACTTTTAAAAATTACCTTGTTCTTAACACTGTGCCGACACACAGTAAATGATAAATGTTGATAAATGCCTTCTGAATTGATTCATGGAATTATGAACGAGTTCACGAGCCTCCTGGGTTTTTGGCACTCTGGGTTTCTGAAAACTGGGCTTCCAAGCTCCCACCCCTCTGCTATACTTACATTCCTGTGGATCTTTAACACTCAAAGTGAGTAAATATCTTGGGGATCAAGGTGCTGCAGCAACTGAAAGCATGGGCACATTTTGGTTATTCATGTTTCTATTCAATACTGACTCTTACTATGTGGTGTTCTTCTGAATGGCAGATAAATGGATTAGTCACAATGCCCAGTTATGAACCAGGGGGACAATGGAGCCTTGTGAGCAGCTGTCTTGGAGAAAGTCTGATGCATTGTTGATGGTGATGACTCCTTGATTGTGGTTTTAGCACCTAAAGGAGGGCCGTAAAGGGTGACAGAACAGTTTTTAGCAGAGGAGTCATTTTGGGGATTGTTATTTGAATGTTCTCTAGTGCCTTACTGACCAGGGAGAGAGAATAGTTATGGGTGGGGAAAGTCCTACATTAGGACAGAGGGATTAAGGGTCTCAGTAAGTGCTGCTGTGTGAGTTATGGGGAGACCTGAGCTGACCTCTGACATGGCATATGCTGGTGGTTTTAGCTACTGGATGGCTCTCCCCAGGGAGTTCCTTTCAGTTAAAGGGTCAGGGAGTGAGGAGGAAGAGGGCCCGAG